TTATTCCAACGATCTAATTCAAGTTTGGCGCGTGGAGGATATCATAGACATGAACGAATATGAACTTATTTTATGCGGACAGCCATCCTTGATGTAGGATGGTCATACAAAATATTAGGTTCGTTTTAAAAATTTATTAGTAAGATTTGTTATCGTGCATGGGATATCGGAGGATGGAAGCAAAATATTTATTCGTGTTTGTATGTAAATTTTCTCAATATGTAACTCTCCTTCCTTTTTTTTTTTTTCAAGTTTCTTGGATCTTATCACCGAGAATAAAAAGATTATATTGACAATCATGCTCTCTCCAAGCAAAACCAAGCATGCCCAAATTCACTAAATAAAATAAAAAAAATACGCCAATGTCAGTGTCATATGATCAAATACCGTAATACGTGTACAAAAACTAAATAAACAATTACAAAAAAGTGAAAGCGTAACCCTATCTCACTATCTTTTTGCCTCTTCTGTCTCAACTCGGAACCAATCACCCTTTTAAACGTGTTGAATACGAGGAAAGCCGAATCATCGGCTATCCCAATAACACTAAAATAATAATTTTTACTTATTAACGTGTTAATCCATTCATTAATTTATTAGTTATCTAATTAGCCACCAAATCAAACTTTTACACGAACGAAGAAAAAGATTGCCACCGGCTTTTTTCACTTCTATATACGTGGCAGTTCTGCAGAAAATCTCCATTTCACCAGGAAAAAGCTGAGCCACTAGGAATAGAATCTTTTTGAAACATTTGGTGGATGCTTCACACGTGTGATACTTGGGACACGTGTGGTGAAATCAAGGTATTCAATGGAGATGGGGTTAGAGAAGCAGAAGTGGGTTTTTTTTTTTTTTGCCCTTTCACTTCATCTTTGTTGGTCGGCCTACTTTGAAAAATGATTCTGACTTCTGACGTGGCAAAAAACTACTCCATACATCCTAAAAAGTTTATTTTATTTTTATATATATCAAAAAATTATTAATTATTATTTCATATTAGTATATTTTATGTTTTTTAAATTAAATTTAAATAATTTTTTAATTAAAAAATCTTAATGAAAAATATTTTTAAAAATAATCAGTTACAATTTAACAAGACAAATATTTAGAAAATAAATAGAAAAGTAAACATTTTTTTAAACACAAAGAATATTTCTATTTAATAGGTGCTCATTAGCTTTGTGGGGTCCAACTCACGTGGGATTCTTGAAATCAGCTGTGGACGTGGATTTTGACGAAGCTTAACTTCAATAAATCTTGGTTTTCTCCGCACTTGGGATGTGAATAAAACAACATGGCAATTTTTATTATTTTTATATGGATTGTAGAATATTTTTAAATATATTTTTACATTAATCGATGTTTATCACTTTCTGACCTAAATTAGTATCAGAATATATTGATCAATCACTGAATTGTTTTTTTAAACTAAACTATAATATTCTAAGTTTGATGCTACAAAATAAATAAATCAATAAATCAATAATTATGATGAATTATTTGTAAATAATGAGAATTGAACGTTGATTTACTGTTAAATTAAAATAACTCATTTATGGCTAAGTCTTATTTTTTTTAATAAACCAACTCATTTACCGTCAAACTACATTCTTTAATAAAACAACCTAGTAATTAAAATCTTAAATACCTTTTGCCAATATGGAAGAAAATAGTAATCTAAATCAACCATTAATTATTTAAATTGAATGGAATGATTAAGTTTATAAGGTTCACATATGAGCATGATATTGAGACTTGTTTTATGTTGAAACAATTTATATGATTGTTGTTATATAAATATATTTTTGTGTGGTTTAAGAATAATTTTGTATGCAAAATCTATCTAATTGTAGTTATAACTTTTATTTTCTATTATTACTATTCTTATATGATAAATAAAAAAATTGTTTTTTTTTTGAGTAATTTCAAATATTTTAATGGGCGATCATTTCAATTTTGTTTTATAGATTTTAGATTTTTTATTTCTTAAATATTTTAAAATTTTACATTTTCTTTATTATAAATTACTTTTTTTTTATCAATTAAGTTTTTTTTTCAAATTTTAAATAAATATATACATCTATCTTTATATAATATTCTCAATCTTTCATATGTTTTTCAGATTTTTAATTACATCACATCTATCCTTGAAAAATTTTAAAATGTTCGATATGTCATTCGATCAAATTTTTCGATAATGAAAAATAAGTTTAACCAAAACATCCTTTACTAAAATGTGAAAAAAATAAAAAATAAAAAAACACTTAAATTCACATGACCTATATGTTTAATTTTTTAAATCTTTAGAATTTTTGTTTATTATTATTATTATTATTATATTTTTTGCATTTCAATCAAGAAAATTTCGATAAAAAAAAATATTTAGCCCAAAAAATTGATCGAAATAATAAATTGAATATTTCATACACTTTTAGAAATAAATGAAATGCAATTAAAAATCTAGAGATGTATGAAAGACTTTGAGTATTATATAAGGACATATGAATATATTTACTTTAAAATTTTAATGATTGATTATATTCAAACTTATTTTTATTTATTAAAAAATTTGAAAATTTTAATTAGTATTCATGTTACAAAATAATCTAATTTAATCCAATAGGATTGAATTGGCTAGATTCTATAAACGCATAGTAAATTTGATCCGATGGAACTCTTATTATAAGATTCTTTTTTTTTTTTCCAATTAAAATAACAACTTTCTAAATTAATTTTTTATTTAAAAAGTAAAAATATATCAAATATTTATGTTTTAAATGACTCCACTCCATTTCAAAAAAACCTATTTTTTTTTCTGTATTATTGATTATATGGAGATTTTTTTGTTCATCACTCTTTGTTTTTTTTTTTTTTTTTTTAAAATTTTTAATGTGAGAAAATATCCTTTATTAAAACGTGAAAAAAAAAAAACATTGTGCAAGTATTAAAAGAGTTCAGAATCGTAGTATGTTCAGCCTAAACACAACAGCTTAGATATAATTCGAAGGAAAAGGTGAAGTTGGGCAAAATGAAGAAAACCATTGAGCATGAATTGTGAAAATACCACATTCTTGTAAAAATTGACAATAAAGGCTAGAGTTTCACTCCAATATTTCGCTCAGAAAGAAATCCAAAAAAAGCAACGTTCAGGTAACGATATGTGGTAAGGGCTCCATCAACAAACTAGGTTTGGAAAAAAGATAGAATATTTGGAGGAAGGGCAACCACAAGTTTACTCGCACATGAGGCAGTTGTCTGAGAGAGAGAGAGAGAGAGAGAGAGAGGGGGGCTCTTTTAATGCCAATTAGATCAGTTTACTTTCGGATTATTGTTTGGAATTCGATGGTTTTGGAAAAAAAGTTATGTTGCCATAAAAATCAACTGAAAAGGCACCGATATTACTCTTTTAGAAAATTCAATCCAATTAAAAATATTATTGGTAAGAAATCATGTATATAAATACCAGTTTAGCTAAAAATGTTTTATTTTAACACGGCCAGCTTTCTTACCCCATATTTAAAAAAAAAAAAAAAAAAACAATTAACCCAAGATGAGCTTATCTCTTTTCATACTCTATTAACATCTCAAATGGGACGGACTACTGATGACAAGACATAGGATTATATTGGCAAGTATAACCCCTCACAACCAGAGGGAGAAATAAGATACATAAAGCCTCGAAAGTGGAGCAATGGTGGGCCAACATACGATTTCGTCCACAAACTTGCTTCCACTCAAGAAAACTATCATGGTTGGGCAACATTGAGGGATTTTTTTTTTTTTGAAAAACCCCAAATTACCTTCTCCTTTTGTCTTTCTTTCAATATATATATAACACAAACATGCATCAGATGTTTTGTATCATGTTGGATGCAATGGTCTACAAAAATGGAAAAATATATTGAATTTGTACTTTTGTAGATGTTTGGCATGTTTCCAAGCTTTCTCATTTGTTGGTAAAATCCTTCTGCAAAATCATTAAATGTGAAAGTACATATTTTTTTAAGATATGTTTGTAACTTTATGTCTTCCTTATCTTTACTGGGTAACTCAACCAGCAAAGTCAAGCGGCATTTATTAACTAAGCCTCATTTAAATCTCACCCACACAAAAAAGGGAAAAAGAAATACACTGTTTATTGTGTAATTTAAATCTCTCAATCAACCAAAATAATTTTATGTCTTTTTTATAAACAGGACAAGATAAAGATGAAGGTTAAGGTTGTAATATTAACTTAATTTTCAAGTTCCCTTCCTTCTTACAAGAAATCTTAGATTAAGTCATGTTTAAAATATGATCATAATACACCTTAATTTATAAGACGACTTATGATATATACCTTATTTAATGATTGGAGAAAAAATTCAAAACCCTTAATACTATTCATAATATAACGTATTAGGGGTTTTGAAAAAATAGAAAAAAATAGTTGTGCAAAGCAATAAAGAGCATCAAACAAACAATCAATCCATGTCGTTTACAATTCAACAGAGAATAGTTTATTATGAATTAGTAGTAATAGTTCGGTAAAATATATATTAGTATTATTAAGGAGGGACAAAGAGGCCATTTGGGAGGAAAAGAACGCGTTGAAAGAAAGAAATGGGTGGCTGACTAGGATGGAAAGGAAAAAGAGTGTTAGGAAGAGAATCAAAAAGAGAAGAAAGAGAAAAAGAAAGAAAATCTTTCCTTCAAGGCCACATACAAAACTTGTGGCTCAGAAATTCTCTTCTTGCTTACGTGGCACCACCCACCTGCCTAAATGGATCAAAAACGTAGAACTAAAGACTTTGACAAAAAAACACATAACTACAACAACACGAAGTAGAAGGGCATGCTAAGTGTCAGATCTCTTTACGCACTTTCTCTCTCTAAAAACACCACCAACCGTACTCATTTCTCTCTCTTTCTAAAGACATCAACTACAATACTCCTTTCTTTCTCTCTCTAGAAAGTTTACAGTTTTTTTAGTTGTTCGGAGAAAAAGAGAGAGAGAGATGGGGAAGCAGGCAGAAATGTCGGAGCCAAAGGACCCGGCTATTAAGCTATTTGGGAAGACTATTCAAGTGCCAGAGTTCTCTATCACTACTACAACTTCAGATGATGATGATAGTCAATGTCAAGACCGTCCATCTTGTGCAAACTCTTCTCCTCTTGACGAGACCAGTACTGATAATAACAATAATAACAGAGATCTTGGAGAAGAAGATATAGAAACTGATGATAAGGTAAATGATTATTATTTTTTTCATTTTGATTGGTTTGAGATTTTGAGACTGACCCATTTCTTAGAAAGTAGAAGGAATTAAAGGGTTATTATTATTATTTTTTTTTTGCTGAATTTGAAATTCATTTGATGTTATTGTTTTTCTAAAAAAGTGAGTGTTTGGGGATGTTTGATAGGTTTTTTGTAGTTAAGAATGCTTTGTTTTTATGCTTACGATTGATTTGGTTGAGGTGGTTTATGTAAATTTTCTTTCTTTTGGAGATTGCAGGTTTGTATATAGCAATTATGTTTCAAGTAACTAGCTAGATTATTCACAGAAGAATTATATTTGATTTGCGGTTTTTTTTTTTCAGGAAAAAATTTTGATTTCTTAATCTTTTTAACCATCTGGATTTTGGATGCTGAATTCTTAGATCTTAGTGGGGTAATTTGTTCCATTAGGATATCTTTGAAAAACCAATTCCCCCTAAGAACTCCCTTTTGTTGTACGAAAAGTGGTTGGTATTTTGATTTGTGCCTGAAAAAGCTTTCTGCAGTTTTTTTTCCAGATTGACTTTTTTTAGAGCTAGTCTAACAGTATTTCCTTGATTCTTCTCAATAAAGGGGGAAAAAAGGGGTGTGTCCTTGGTGCTTGTGGTTAAATTTCACAACACATCTATGCTTCCTGCCTACCTAAGATACCCTCCTTATAGAGGTTTCTATCAATTTTTCATTCCTTAAAGGACACATGGTTAGTGGTGCTAACTTTTAATTTAGAAGGAGCTTGGATCAATATACTTCTGCCTGTAGATTCTCATAAAAGTGACCAGCAAAGTCTTATTCCATCTTCATGTTCTGCTCTGTTCAGATTTACATAAATTGAGGGGAAGACAATTGTTTTGTTTTACAATTCTGACTAATCCTGTGTGTCGGAACACAAATGCTTATCATTTCTTGGTTTTGTTATTTTGAATGAGAAGTGCTTCAACCTTGTTGTACAAAAAAATCATCTCTTGCCTTTTCCAGATGATTGGAAAATAAATATTGTTAGGTTGAGTGAGTGGTCAATGGGCACATCATCTAATTTAAGCTTAATGGTTCTAGTAAAAAAGGTTTGTGACCCCAAACAACTATGATTTGGAGCAATTGAGATTGGATAAACCTCATTTCAACTCTACTGGTCTCGATGTCTTTCTTCTGTTTCACTTCTTGTTCCAACTTTAATACATTAAAATATATAGTTGCTGGGAAAATTCTGTCGTTTTTGTGTAATTGTTTAGTTTTTGTTTCTCAAGAATGTAGTGTTTGTACTAATGTTTATCAATTGTGTTATGTTCAATTCAGGACCCGGTGGAAGAAAAACCAACTGAGAAACAGGATCTTGAAGCTTCACCTGTAGCTATAGAAGAGTATTCAAATCCAGATGCAACCTCAGAGACAGGTGAAAACCCTAAAACACCTTCCATTGAGAGAGAGAGCACAGCATTGAAAACTTCAAAGACAGAAGAAGAACAGAGTGATACAAGTAATTCACAAGACAAGACCCTGAAGAAACCTGACAAGATCCTTCCATGCCCCCGCTGCAATAGCATGGACACCAAGTTCTGTTACTACAACAATTACAATGTGAACCAACCCCGACACTTCTGCAAGAATTGTCAGAGATATTGGACAGCTGGGGGTACCATGAGGAATGTGCCTGTGGGTGCCGGTCGTCGCAAAAACAAAAACTCAGCTTCTCATTACCGTCACATAACCATTCCTGAAGCTCTTCAGAATGTTCGATCTGATGTTCCAAATGGAGTCCACCATCCTTCACTGAAAACTAACGGAACAGTGCTAACCTTTGGCTCTGACACACCCCTTCATGAATCAATGGCTTCTGTATTGAATCTTGCTGATAAAACAATGCGGAATTGCACAAGAAATGGGTTTCATAAGCCTGAAGCAATGAGGATTCCAGTTTCTTATGGAGGTGGAGAAATTGGTGATGACCATTCTAATGGATCTTCAGTTACAGTGTCAAATTCAAGTGACGAGGCAGGCAAAAGTGTGTCAAAAGAATCAGCTATGCAGAATTGTCAGGGCTTCTCCCCTCAGATACCATGTTTTTCTGGAGTTCCCTGGCCATACCCTTGGAATTCAGCTCAATGGAGCTCACCAGTACCCCCACCTGCGTTTTGCCCTCCTGGTTTTCCTATGCCATTCTATCCTGCAGCGGCTTATTGGGTACCGGGTGCTTGGAATATCCCTTGGCATCCACAGCCAACTTCACCAAAACAAACCTCCATGAACTCTGGCCCAACTTCTCCAACCCTAGGGAAACATTCAAGGGATGAAAGCATGCTCAAATCTAGCAACTCTGAAGAAGAGCAGTCAATGAAAGAAAATAGCACTGAAAGATGCCTTTGGATTCCGAAAACGCTGAGGATTGATGACCCTGGAGAAGCTGCAAAAAGCTCTATATGGACGACACTTGGGATTAAGAATGATAAATCTGACTCGATTGGTGGGCGAGGACTCTTTAAGGCCTTTGAATCAAAGATCGAAAAGCATCATGCAGCCGAATCCTCTCCAGTCTTACAAGCTAATCCTGCGGCACTGTCTAGATCTCTCAAATTTCACGAGAGCTCGTAATTTGGATAGCTTTTAACTTAATATTTGTCACAAGTGGTGGAAAGTTTCAACCTAACACCTTTATAAACTGAAGGTTCACAGTTCAGTCACTGGCCTCATTTGTTAATAGTCTCCTTGCAGTCAATCTATAAGGGGATAGAGCATAGGAGAACTATCCTAGTTATAGCAGAAGTAGCCACTGTAAGTATTTATCTTTTTGTTGGATGCAGTCCAAGAAGGTGCTTTTTGTGTCCAGTTAGATGGTTTGCCAAACCGTTGTACATATTTATATATGAAATAGTGAGACTGAGAGCTTAGCACAGAATCGAGTTTGTGTACCATAAATCCCATTTGTACTAAAATAAATCTGGGAATGGCAATCCTACTTTTCTATTTATTTGTTATTATTTTATTGGCACTAGATCTATACAGAGTACTCCCATGTTTAGCTCGCCCTAGATCGTTGTCCAATACAGGCGTCTCCTATGTTAGCTCTCTTTGGAAGCTCTAGATACCATGGCCTCATGAAAAACAAGAATCACAGATTCTAATACCTTTAGATATGGATATCAAATTGATAATCTCAACTGTCATCAGCTATGTCATAGCTGCTGGTAAAATAAATGCAGCGTTTTGGCTTCAGTTATGCAACAAAATCAGGCGATAGGTTAAATATTGATCCTTTGTTCTATTGAAAAAAAAATCCACAGATACAGTTAAACGGGATTGAATGAAGACAGGGAAGTTTAATATCATTCCATATCGCTCTGAATATAGCTCTAAATATAGAGGGCAGATAAGGGCTGCTAAATGGAAACACAAAAAGTTGATGTAGGCCCTACCCTTTGTAGATAGACTTGAATTCTTATCCGAGAAGGCCAGACATCTGTCCTTCTCTTTATACCGAATAATCCAACCAAACAACTAGCATCAAAAGGTGGAAAGTTTTTTCCTCTCTCTTTCCATTTCTTGGTGCTTTAACTTTCTCTTTCTTTCTTTTTGTTTCTTATCTATAACACAGGAAAGGATACATAATTTGTGATGCTTTTAACCCTATAAAGTGAATTATAACTTATTCCTTTTAATTTTAAAAAATAAATTTTTTATTTCAAAAACTAATTATTTAATTTTTATGTTTTTAAATTTTATTGTAACTCATCCATTTTAATTACTTTTCAATTTATTTTATTTTTATTTTCAAATAAAAAATAAAAAATAAAAGAATTAATTTTAAATATGATATTTTTAAATAAGCATAGTCAATATTGATAAAAAAAAAACTAAATAATTAATTTTTAAAATAAAAGAGATCAATTAATTTTTTTTCAAAAAATTAAGAGACTAATTTATAATTTACTCTAACCCTGTACCAAGCATGAATTATTCTACGATGAAGGAAGTAATTAAGCAGCTTATGGTTAACCCTTTTAAAGCTTAAAAAGAAGAAGATTACTTTTATAAATGAGAGAGATATACAACATTGTGACTCTTCCCATATTATTTCAGCACCTTTTTATTTTGAGTGTTTGTAAAATTTTATATCAATTTTATCTCAATAAATCATTTTTAAATATTTACAGCGTGGACGTATTGGTAGATCTTATTGAACACCAACTAATCATATACAATAAGTAAATGATGTTAGTGCCAAGTAATTTAGTCTTAGACAGGCTAGCTAGTTAAAAACATCGAGATATTTTGTGTTTAATGTTCGGCGAAGGTTGGCCACGATTCTTGTGTGCCATGAGCTGTTAATGGGACCCAATGCACGTGATGCCATTAAGTTTCTTGGCTTACTCCTTCTGGCTTCCCTTTCTTTCTTTCTTTCTCATGTCCTCTTATCCCCCCCCAATTTCTCATAATGAAGGTAGCTTTCATTTCTTTCGGTGCTGAAATCGTTCAATTTATGTGTTGGAGGTTAATATACTAAATAAATAAATAAACAAACAACTTGTATATAATAAAATAAAATGTATTGCATAATTAATATCATATTTTATTTTACGAGGAAGAAATTGTGTTGGATAGTGAAATTAATGCTAATATTTTTAATAAAAAATAATTAAATTAAATCAATATATTATAATCATTGAAGCTTATCGAAATGCTTGAAATTTAATATATATAAATATATAGTCATAATAACATCACACACTTGAAAATCTTGTGGTTCTGCTTTTCCCTCGCGAATTTCCAACTCTTAGTTGTCTTCGGTTGCGTGGCCCGACTAGTAGTGTCTGTTCATGTCCATGTCCCGGTGAACGGACCTCCAATCACGTGACAAATTCCTTTTCTGTTCTTTTCTTTGTGGTCAGATTATTATCCAATATACTAAAATAAATAAACCACACCAAAACATGTTTGTACTGTGCACACACATTCAGACCCCGTTTTAGCTGCACCCAATTTCACTACGCATTTTACTATTTAAAAATAAGTTTATCAAATTAATTTTTTCAGAAACTTTTGTTTTGATATTGAACTTCATTTGTATTCAAAAATCATGAAATGGTCGAAAGATATAAAACGGAATCAAAAAATATTTTGAATTTGATTTTAATTTTTATGCATATTAAGATGGATTTTGAGATTTTAAATAAATTTGTTGATGTTATTTTTATGATTTTGAAGTGTTTTTTTTTTTTTAATAAAACTAAATTCAGTTTTGGAGTGGCTAGGAATTAAAAACTCATTTTCGTTTGTTGAAAATTACACATGAAATACACGCAGTCTATTGCACAACAAGTGGATGACCTGTAGTCTTGCTTTTTTGAGCAGGCCTAGTTCTTCAAGCCCAAACGTGCAGGCCTACGCCCCAACTCAATTCTTTTTTGTTTTTATTTTCAGTTATTTTTTATTATTATGAATTTTTGGTTGAAGATTCTAGAAGATCAATCTTAATTTTTTTGAATTTCATACATAGTTTGACAAGAAAACTCTCTCTCTCTCTCTCTCTCTCTCTCTCTCTCTCTCTCTCTCTCTCTCTCTCTCTCTATATATATATATATATATATATATATATATATATATGTCATTTCTAGAATTCCGGGAAGAATTTTGAGGTCATTCCAATTGCATATGAAATCAAACATCCATGGCTTTCTAACAATATATCATATGCATACATATTTTTCCAAATGATAGTTATGATTCATGAGGTGGGGATTCTCATATTAATATTAATAGTTGAATGACTTTTAATACAAAATAATTGTGTGATTGATATTACTCATTGTGTAATGGATTGATAGTTGTTACATGCAAAACAAGTCTCTTTTAGTGTTTGAAGGATCCTCTAATGTATAAGTTAGCATACGAGAGATAGGTATTTGGTTTTAATAGATTAATATTATTTAGCTCTTAATAGAAGAAGATATATGGTACTATATTATTTTTAGAGCTTAAAAGGTAAAACTTGTAACATATAGAGTGTTAAACTTTTTATAGTGAGAAAAATGATCAATTTGCATAGAGTGGCGAGATAGATTGATCTTTTCCCTTGTGTACATCTACTTCGCATCCAAGTTTAGGATTCCTTGAGGTAAATGTCTTGAATTATTTAGGCATGTTCAATCATATTTAGTGGTGACGTGAGAGACGCTCTATAAAGTCTTGTTTTCATTAAAATTATATCTTTTTCATTTGGCAAATAAGAAGGATAGTTAAGTTCGGGCTTCTTGTTAATACGAGACATTCGGGTTTTTTTCAAACCATGAAACCTTTAGTGATTGATCGGTTAGTCCCGTATATGGATTTAGTGTGGGTCGGGTAGTCTTTCAATGATGTGAGGGGACTTATGTTGCAAGACCGATTAAATGGGTATGTCGACAAGTCCTTATAAGTCTTTAAGCAGTAATATCGATAACCGTTTTGAGTCTTTAGCTAGTATACTTTGGTTATGATCGAGTACCAATAGGTGTTTAAGGCAATTAGTGGCTTTTTACTTGTCTTTTTCAAACTTGACCTTAGTGGATGTATTATATGCTCATTTAATGCTTATAATTTTAATAATCATGTGGACACATAGGAAGACTAAACACTCATGCATGAGAAAGTCATTGAGAAATCAAAGAGGTTGGGCCTTTTGAAGTCTCTGTTTGCATATGTTTCAACTTTTTATGGGACAAGTGGCAATGCACCATTGGAGGCTTAGGATTTTAAACACCCGAGTACAAAAATTTTTACGCTCTTTTACTCATAACTAGTCATTGGAATCCTTATCTTTTATTTTCTACTAATTTTGTTTTTATTATTGTGAACTTTTTAGAGCATTTGTAAGGATTACTCGTGAATTAGTGATTATTTGATGTTCTTTTGGGAGAGATGTTTCCTCATAATTTTTCTTTTGTTGAGAAGATCTTTGGTGATTGTGATTTTCTTAAACATATATGAGCTTTTGTAAAGCAATCCTCTTTCTTTGGTGATTTTAGTAAAGCTTTGATAGGTATACCTCTTTTTCCTTTTTACGTTTAACTAGAAATATCAATTCTAAAAAGAGTTAGAGATGTGTACTGGGATTGCTCTTATTAATGAAGGAGTAAGCTCTAATATGAATCTAGTTCTCTTCTTTGGGGATGCAAAAAGCTTGTATCTATCTTTGTTGATAGAGGTCCCGATAGATTTTAGAAGGAAGAATTGTAGCTTTTTCTTGTTATTTAGAGAGGAATTATTGTGTAGCTATCCCTAGCCCAAGCGTAAGATGGGAAGATTAACCGCTAGGAGCATGTATGGGAATATTTAGATTATTATTCTTACTTGTATGATTGAATACAATTACATATTTTATTTGTCTAAGTTCTATTCAAGAGAGTCTGCTAGTAACTTTCACCTAAACCTTTTTTTTTTTTTTGACATTCTTTATAGTATTATAACACGTGGCATTTATTTTAAAGATTTAAACTCTTAATTGGTAACTAAGATGAATGATAGTTTTGTAATATTAGTTAAATACATGTGTATTTTGTTGTTGAGTCCAAATAATCCTTTCTATCTCTTTTTTTGTTATGTCCATTCTCCACTAC